AGACATAAATACACCCACTCAGTCTGTATAATGTTACATGTATGTTTTCAGGGTTGACCATTTGGTATTAGATAACCAATTGGAGGGCTCCTCTCTGGGGAAGACGGTTTCTCCTGCTCCCAGCATTCTGTAGTTGCCGGAAGGGCTGAGGCCTTTTCTGTCCACTCTGGTTTGCCTGCGGCCTTGTTCAGCTCATGTTCCAGCAACCACATCGGTGAGACATTCTGGGGGTGACTTCTGATGTTACTAGGAGACACAGTCTCACCGCCACCTCCCTGGTCCTCTGGCTCTTTCATTCTTGCTGTCCCCCACTTCTGAGGTGCTCCCCACACCTTTGATGTGATGTTGTTTTGTAGATGTATGTGTTGGGACAGGGGACCCAGCTTCCTAAACTGTAGTAGGTCATGCTCTGCCAAGGGGACCACATAACTGAATGTGGGCACTATGGAAAATAAGGCAACGATAAGAGGTATCTGAATCTATGATGACCAAAGCAATGAAAGCAAAATCAAGTTTCTAAGGCATCTGAGACTTTTCTCCCAGACCCCGCCAATATTGCAGCCTGGGCATCATCCTTGCCTTGATTCTGAACACACATATACACCTTGCCAGCCACTGTGCCCCACACCACACAGACAAACGCTGCCTCTATCACTGCACCCCAGTTTGAAACCCTTGTGTTATGAGCTGCAATGTTCTCACGATGCATACAAAGTCTTCCACTTATAGAAACATAATGGCTTAATTTAGGAAAATAAGGACAATATTTTTCTATGAGCATTCCTCAGCCTGTATTAGATTAGTATATTTGGGGTTTGTATTGTATTAGAGTGCTTGATTTTAAAAATTGGTGCTTAAGTTACTGACTTGAGTCTCTCTCTCTCTTTCTCTCTCTCTCTCTCTCTCTCTCTCTCTCTCACACACACACACACACACACACACACACACACACACACACGCATTCTGTCTTGGGAACAAGACAGAATTCACTACAACTGCGGAAACAGCCCTCAGCATACTTCTGCCTCTTTGCACTATGCACTTAGGCGAAGTGGCGTTCTTGGCATTGACGATTATAAAATCAAAATATCAATCAACTCTGGAAACACTTAAAGACGCTCTACATCCTGTAGGATCAAATCTTCAGCCAAGATTTAATTTCCTATGCAAAAATGAACAAGCACAGAGATCTTGTTAGCATGCAAATTTGTTTCCATCTTTAACAAATGCCAAAATCACATGCCTACCAAGGAATTGTATGCTTTTGAGTCAGGGTCTCACTTAACCCAGGTTGGCCTTGAGCTTGCTATGCAGCCAAGGATGACCTTGAGTCTTCCAAGCACTGGGATTACAGGTGTGTGCTGCCACACCCGGTTACTGCACTGGGAGTTGAATTCAGGGCTTCTTGTAGGGCAGGTGACCATTCTACCAACTGAACGGCATCCCTGGTGCTTTAAGATAAATCTATGGGTACTGTCAGTAGCTGTTTCGCTTACACGCCTGTTTTCTGGACTGCTGTACTCAGGGCAGCAATGAGTCTCCTCCTGTACCACCAGCTGCCTCCCAAATGGAGACCGCCTTCGCTTAGGATTCTCCCACTTGCTCTTGTGACTTAAATTAACCGATATTTTTATTAATCTACGTTCCGCCATGTGACTTTTACCTGTCTCCCATTCAGTGTGTCTACACCTTTGGCATCTCGGCTAACTCCTGTTCCTCTCTCTGCCTGGAAGTTCTGCCTACGTCTCCTATCTAGCTATTGGTCATTCAGTTTTTATTACACCAATCACAACAATGCATCTTCACACAGTGTACAAACATTCCACAATGTGGGGTCATGCACAGATGTCTCAGGTGAGAAGAGGTGAGGGGTGGGAAAGCTTAAGAAACCAAGTTAACAGAGCTGGGGGCTGTGTACCAGGTCAGTGTGAGCTACCATAGTCACACAGGTGCGAGCTGGTGTGAACTGAACTGAGGTGGTGGGCAGTGGACCTGGGTAGTATTTGCCTTTGGTTTGTGATGGAGTGGAAAGGATCAGAAGTGTCTGATGTTGGTGGCTGTGGAGGGAGCCATAGGGCCACCTGAAAGAGCAAGAATGCCGATGAGCTACGTTCAGGGTTCCCATGGAGCTGCTGCGATGTCCTTGGGTTCCCTAAGGACGAAATGAAGAGGGAGTTTGTTGGTTAGATGCTCAAGCACCTGAGAAGTCATGAAAATGCAAATAAGAATTCACAGCATATAGATGGTTTGGAGGAGGAGGGGTGGGTGAGATTCCCCAGGAGAAGAAGGAAGTGGAGGAGAGATCTATCTACATCCGAGTCCCAAGCCCAATGAGATGGACAGAGGAACAACCAGTGAGGGACCCCAGGGAGGTGGTGCCGTGGGCGCTCTCGTGCCACCCCCCCAGCCTTGGATATTTGATCATTCTCTCTACTGTAAACTTAGATGATTTTTAAAACATTCCTAATGGCGGAGGGGATGAGAGGACAAGCCGTGGGTGTCCTTCCTTCCACCACGTGGGGCCCAAGGATGGGAATCAAGTCCTCAGGCTCCACCAGACTGGACCACATTCCCCCTCTTTGCACTTCTCACTTTATCCTTCACTCCAGGACTTAAGTCTCTGCCTTTCCCTGGAAATCCTCTGCATAAGCCGTATTCGCAGTTTCTGCTTCTCTTTTCTCTCTTTTCTTTCCTAGTGCTTGACAGGCTGTATCCCCAACTCAGGTAGCTCTTAGCTCGGGACACCCAGGAGGGGCTCAGTAAAGACTTCTTTAATGGATCCAGTGAATTCGACTTCTCTCTTCTCTCTTCCATGGAGCTTCTCCATTAGAGTTCTTAAACACAGGAACAAATAACTTTGGAGGATTAATCATAGGCGATGAAAGCTAATGAAGTAATTCAAGATGAACCTTCCCAGATATCAACGGGTGAACAGCATCTCAGGGGGCAAGACCTAGAGATCAGTTATTCTGGCAACAGGGATGCAGACTGAACATTGGAGGTTGTCTGTTAACCTGTTTCACATAAGTAGCCTTTGTGTTAAAGGAGAGGTAAATTAGACAATCCCGGCTTCGGTAGGTGTAAATAATTATTCAGAATTTGCCTGCTTTCTACTCGGGTGGTATTTGTCTTTTAAATCTAAAAAGGCATAGTAGGAGTTTAACAGCTGTTTATTATTCCCAACACTTTCAGAAAACAAATAAAAATGAGACTGAAACAAACACACAGCAGGGCACTAAGGAGTGGAAAACCCCTCTGCCGTGGGATCTGGATCTAGACCCCCTGGTTCGGGATTGACAAGCTGTCACAATCACCACCCACAAGGCAGATGCCCAAGGTCACCTCCAAAGGTCCCAGCCTGAACTTACTCACCTGCTGGGCCACCTGTGGGTACAGACTGGAAGTCTAGATAGCATCTTACAGAACCCTGTCCCTTGCTTTCCCACCCTTTTTGAGACAAGCTTTCTCTACATAGCTCTGGCTGTCCTGAAGCTCACTCTGTAAACGAGGGTGGCCTCAAACTCACAGAGATCTGCCTGCCTCTGCTTCCCGAGTGCTGGGATTCAAGCCTGTCGCATTTTGCCTGACCTCCTTGCCCCCTCTTTAGCTCCAGTGCTGTCAAAGTCTCTGCATTTTGCCTTGGTCCCACAGCCCATGGCACCCATCCGTTGGTCCTAGCTCCTCTGGTTTCTTCACTCCCGTCCGGTCATCCTCCGCAGGTGAAGAAAATGACCAGACACTCCAGGAGTACCTGTCCCATCACTCTCTTCAAACAACCAGAAATCCAGATGAAATTTTGTAACATCTGACACTCACTAATTATCTGTGTCTGATGCAATGCTTCAACACATCGTTGGGGGGTTACATTCTTCTAGGGGCCTGTGTGGCTAATCTTGGTTGTCAGTCTATGCAGGTCTGGAATCAACTAAAATGCAAGGTACCGCATCAGATGGTGTGAAATGGGGAGAGCCACCCTGACCACCTTGGCAAAGTCTCTTCTGTTACTCCAGAGTGTGGGTACTCTCGTTCTTTCCCTCCATTGCTTCCAGGCTCGCTCCCTCCACGGAATGTAGGTTGCACCTGGGTGTGTGTCCCTGAGCTCTAGGTGTGAGCTGGGTGTGAGCCAGGCACTTAGGAGTTACTCAACAAATATTTACTGAGTGGTGGAAGGGAGGAACGAGTGTGGTAGTGTCTCAACCACCCCTGAAGGCAGTGGCCGATGTCTGTACCACATGGCTCTTTTCTCTAAACCGGTGGTTCTCCACCTGTGGGTCCTGACCCCTTTCTGGGGTTGATGACACTTTCACAGAAGTCGCATGTCAGATATGTACATTATGATTCACAACAGTAGCAAAATTGCGGTTATGAAGTAGCAACGAAAATAATTTATGGATGGGGTCATATGAGGAACTGTATTAAAGAACTGCAGTATTAGAAGGTTGAGAACCACTGCTCTAAACTCCCACCATCAAATCTAGAGCCCATGGCGTTGATCTCAAAGGTCATTATTTGGGACCACTGGCTACCTGCCAGGAATCCTCTCCAGTTACCATCGGCCTTGGTCTCCAGGCCCCAGTCATGACTTTTGTAGGCTGTAGGGCCTCCTCCACTGGGAATACATTTTAAATCATGCTCTGCATAGCACCGGGTACTTTTTATCCCTGGTAAAAGAAATCATAACATTTCCGTGGGCCCTAGACTCTGTCCCCAGTAGATGGATGCCAGTTGCACTGGCAAAACTAAGCTGGCTGAAGGTTCAAGTTCTTCATAACACATCGAGGTCAGGTGAGACTCTGTTTCAAAAAGGAAAAAATAACAAAACAGTAAACTATATGGGAATTTTCTAAAAAGCTCTGAGACTATACCATGAGTCCTGCTCTGGGGAGCTCCTTCAAGGCGGTCCCTCAGCCTAGCAAGCCAACGCGCAGGCCACGCCTCCTTTGTAACCACGCCCCACAACAAACTCCGCCCCCCGGCTCTAGCGAAGCCCGGCCGGAACCACGCATGCGCATTTTCGTGTGTCGCCTCCCGCGCACGCGCAGTAAGGACTCCCGGCAACTATGGCGGGCCCAGCGCCGGGTACAATTATGGGAGAAGACTACTTCGGCAATGCTCCGGAGTGGGGCGAAGAGGCGGACGGCGGCCAGGTGAGAGGGCAGTAGGCGTCCCGCCAGAAAGCCGCTTCTCTGCCCTGTGCTCGCGTCGCCCGCGCCGCCCAAACCCGGGTACCGGGGGGGCGTGAACGCTGGGGTCTCTGGCGGCCCGCTGACCCTTGACCCCCTGACCTCCGACCCGGGCCCAGTGGGGCAGGAGCTGCCCTGAGGGCTTCGGGCCTGTCCTGCCCCTTTGTGGGGCCTCAGTTTCCCCCTGCGCGATGACTCTTAGGCTGATCTCTCTTCCAGGCAGCAGGACAGACTGACTCTAAGGGACCACAGTTATCAGGCAGTTCAGACAGTGAACAGACTCTTTACTCCTCACTCCAGCATCTTGGGGGTGGGGTGGGGAAGACTTCTGGGGCAGGACAGACCAAACTTTCTTCTTTTCACTTATGGGTCGATGTCATCCATCATTAGAGTACAGAACAGGAAGGATCTTCCAGCCCCAACTGTCCAGGGTTTGGGGTGACAGATAGGGGAGTGGCACCATTCGGTGTCCCCAACAGAGACCCATCCGGTGTGTAGCTGACATAAACCTCGCAGGTACTTCTGGGCAGTGTGCAGGGGAGCCTGAGAATTTGCCTTTTTTACAGGAAGCAAGATGAGCTTTGGGTGATGATGAGCAGGAGGCAGTGAGGTTTACCTGTGACGGTGACAGGGAGAGGGGATCCTGAAACTGGAAATCCTGTTGGTTGGCGAAACAGGGGCTGACAGTCATCCGTCACATCTTCCAGGGGTCCTGGAGAGCTGCTGACCAGAGGTCTTGTTTAAGACTCCTGACATCTGTGTGCTAGAGCATCCTGCAGGCCACGTGCAATTGTGGAAGCTTGTAGGGAGCCAGAGTTAGCTAATAGGAAGGCTGGGCTAAGCGCTTTTGTGTGATCTTTCATTCCTTGGCTCTAGAATTTGAACTGAGTGTTATCCCTAAGGGAAGTAAGGAGAACGACTCAGAAACCGTCTTAAGGCCATAAAACAAAGAAAGGAAGACACACAACGATGCCTTTATGTCTCCTGTCACTCGAGTGCCTTAGTCACTGAGGTGGTCCTGATGGGGAAAAAAAGGAAGACGTGGGAAAGGGCTCAGCAAGCGATGTGCTTGCCACAAGAGCACTGGGTCCCGAACTCGGAACCTGGAGCCCACACAGAAGCCAGGCACAGCAGTGCTTGTCTGTGAGCCCAGCACTGGGAGGTCGCTGGAGCTCCCTTGCCAGGCACTTGAACCCAATTGGTAAACTGAGTCAGTGAGAGGCCAGAAAGTGAGCTGGAGAATGACCGAAGGCACCTAGCCTTGACCTCGAACACGTCCACACAGACAACATACACACAGGAACACATGATAGACCACACAGACACAAGAGAGTACATTGTGGATTAACTTGGTGGTGGGGGTTTTGCATGTTTTGTCCATGTTGGGGGTTAGGAGTGGCAGGGTCTGGCCTAGATCCCACTGGATTTCAGTGACCTTGGTGTGTCCCGTTGGCCCCCCGTGAGTTCTCCCTAATGAGAGTGATGAGCTGTCAGGGTACCTAGCCTGTGACGTACGTGTCCTGAGATAATTATATGATGCACCACATTCGTTGATGAGAGTATAGTGCAGCATGCAAACACTGGACACCTCTGCACACATGAACATCTGTCTTTTCTGACTGTGTTCGGAGGGGAGAGAGTCCAGAGAGTTGGAAGACAATGGCATGAACTGGGGCCTCTGAGTCCAGAGAATGGACCCTGAGAGCAGTTGGTAGACAGACACTTGGATTAGTTGGGCTGCTGGTCTTACACGGGGGTGGCAGTTGGTGAGACTGGGCAGGTAAGCTGCACAGAGTCATATAGAGCTTGGGTTCCTCCCTACCCCAACCCCAGAGAGATAGGAAACCAAGAACTAGATCAGATCTGTGACATAGAGAGGGTGGCATCAATGTGGAAGGTGATTTCAGGGGATGAAGCAGAGGCATGCGGAGCTATTGCTACAGTAAGCATACAAGAAAGAAGGGCCAAACGGGACCCCTGTATGGGAGATGGAATTGAGGGTCTTGCTGGCAGGGTATGGGGGAAGTGAGGGGAGGAGGAACTGAGGGTACTTCCAAGGCTTCTGGGGACAGGTGGGAGGAGTTCTTTATTAAAATAGTTTTGTGAGCAGATCTGTTTCCAGGGAAAGACAGGGTCAGTTGGTGTCCAGGAGTTTGCAGTCCTGCTGGAATGTTGAGCAGACAGAATAGTGCTGCATGCTGGCATCTGGGGTGGGCACAACAAGGAACAGTCCAGGTGGGCAGGTGCGTGGCCTGGCGTTGGAAAAGCGCTGTTGGTGGCGACAGGGTAAAAGCCTGGCAGTATTGAGCAGCTCTCAGGGTGCATTCTGAGAGAATATCCCGGTTTTCAGAATGAAGTCACCGGGTTCTGTCTGCCTCCAGCTCATTGCTTTCAGAGAGTCCAGACCAATGGAAGCCAAGTTCCTACAAAGAGCCACATAGGAAATGCCTTAGATTGTGTGGTGCTGTGCACAGCTAGCTAACAACCAGATTAGGGAAAGTAGTTACATGACAAAGTGGATACAAGAGTGTTTCAATAAAACTTTATTTACAAGAACAGGAAGCGGGCTGAGTTGGGTTGGTGGTTTTTTTGTTTGTTTGTTTTTATGGTTTTTTTTTGTTTTTGTTTTTGTTTTGTTTTGTTTTGTTTTGTTTTGTTTTGTTTTGTTTTTGCTGGTTCCTGGCCTGGCTCCTACCTTGTTGTGTCAGCTGCCTGGACCTGGAATTTGGTCTCCTCGTTTGTCAACTCCTTCCATGGGAAAGCTTCGTCTTGTATGTTCTAGGTTCCCAGTCTCAATGCAGCCATAGTTACAGGGCACCTGCTTGCTGTTCTGACTGCTTTGCAGCTGGGCAGACAGACCTGGGGCCGCTCGGTCCACCATACCATGTAGCTGTCAGCCGGCCAAGCAGCTTGTGTGGGTTCAGCCTAAGGTTGTGTCCAGCTCTAGCCAAGCCTGCTGATTCGAGGATTAGTGATCTTGACTTCCTAAGAGTAACTTGGTGACTCCTACCCTAGGACCACTTTATTGGTCTTTGTTGGAGAGCACCAGGTAGCAGTGTGGGGTAGCAGTGGTGACTGGCTGCTGAGCTGAATGTCACTTGTTATTCTTGACCCTCCTGTAGGTCAGCTTGTGGGATCCTCTCAAGCATTGATGGGTGTATCGTCATGAGCGCCTTTGTAAAAGAGGATGCCATGCACTGTGCATGCGGTTCGCCACCGTGGGCCTGCTTGGTGTGGCTCCTGACCCTTTGAAGCTGCCGCTTGCCCAGCTCATGCCATGGGGTTGGTCTAGATGAGTCAGATGAAATCACATGTGTGATTACCTCTTTATGGTGAGACGGCAGGGCACTCAGGCTAGCGCGCACCTCTCCGGCTCTTGCCTCTCGCAGCAGCAAGACGATGATTCTGGAGGAGAGGATGACGCCGAGGTGCAGCAGGAATGTCTGCACAAGTTTTCCACCCGGGACTACATCATGGAGCCCTCCATCTTCAACACGCTGAAGAGGTGTGTGAGCGCAGTGCACACTCAGGGGCTCCTGAGACTTTTATGGTGTAGAGAATGTGATCTTGGAGTGGAAGGTTTGAAGAGTCCCTTGACACCTTGGAAGGCCCTTACACTTGCCCATGCCTTTCTCCTGCCCGCCTGTCCACCCCGGCTCCTCTGTGGCCACTCATTGTAAAAGCCGCCATTTTGTTCTTCCCAGGTATTTCCAGGCAGGAGGGTCTCCAGAAAATGTCATCCAGCTCCTGTCTGAGAACTATACAGCGGTGGCCCAGACTGTGAACCTGCTGGCTGAGTGGCTCATTCAGACAGGTGCCTGAGAGGACGAACCCTGTCCTGGCCGCTCATCCCTCCTGTTTCCTTTTTTCCTCTCTCTCTCTCTCTCTCTCTCTCTCTCTCTCTCTCTCTCTCCCTGGCCGCTCATCCCTCCTGTTTCCTTTTTCCTCTCTCTCTCTCTTTCTCTCTCTCTCTCTCTCTGAGTGTGTGTGTGTGTTTGTGTGTGTATACAGTACAGGTGGGTGTGCATTGCATGTGTATGTAGGCATATGGAGGCCCAAGCTTGTTTTGAGAGTCAAGAGTCAACTTAGATTGCTTTGTTACCTTACTTGTTAAAGTGAGGTGTCAGTAAACCCCAGGGCTTGCAGCTGTGGCCGGTCTCACTAGCAGCTTGCTCTGGGGATGCCCTGTCTGTGATGTGTGAGTGGAATTACAGCGGGGCCACCATGCCTACCTGACTTCGGGTATTCAAATTCCAGTCTCCGTGTTCGCGTGGCAAGCACTTGGAACACTGAGCCATCTCCCCTTCAAGAGACTTTTAGGTCCTTAGATGCTGATAAATTCTGAGCATTCTTGGGCTCTAAGATCCAAAGGCAGAGGATTGACCCCTCCCTGTGTGCTCAGCTCTGAGCTGTGAATCAGTCGCTGGCTTAACAGGAACCCTGTGATTGGAGTTCTCACCGAGCTTCTTCCGTGGCCATAGAATTACAGCGTCACACAATGTGCATTCAGTGTTGCCTTTCAAGAGGCCTGTTACAGCCAGCGCTAAATAATGGATAATTTCGGACTGGTTCGATGATAGCATTTAGCTAATGTGATCAGAATAGAGCCTTACTGTAAATCCACTGAATTGGGGACAACGACGTCACTCAAGCACTGTCCGGAAACCGCTGCCTCACCACCATCAGGGTGATGAGATCTGAGGGTGGCCCATAGCTGCACCTGCTCTCTCCGCGGGGACAGAGTGTACTTTCCAGCTCCTCACCTGTTGGCTCTGGTCCTCTGTCTGAGATGTCCCTCTCCTGACCACACAGAAAGACAGGGTAGTCATCCCATAGACTCATACTCGGTTCCTTTCAGGGTCTTATCACTGAATAAATAGATCTAGAAACTATTTCTAAGGGGCCCAGAACCTTGCACTGTTGTAGTTGGTAGCAGCTCTGTGACACTGGCAGGCTGGCCGTGCTGTTTGTGTGGGGGTGGGGGGGTAGGTAAAGCTTCCATTTTCTCTCAGGTGTCGAGCCAGTGCAGGTGCAGGAGACTGTGGAGAACCACCTCAAGAGTTTACTGATCAAGCATTTTGACCCTCGGAAGGCAGATTCTATCTTCACGGAAGAAGGAGAGGTGAGGGGGGTGCCTGCCAGCACAGCCTGGGCCTCTGCCAGCCTCCTTGCTGCGTTCTCTTCTCAGGAGTGAGGTACTTGATGGGAAGCTGCTAGTAGTGAGGCCAAGAGAAGGCCCACGGCCTCCCCCAGCTCCTGGGTGCAGATGGGGCTAGAAGGCTGGTAGGGGGTCCTCCAGGAAACACTGGAGGTCATGGCGCAGGTCTCGTCAAGAATGTATAGATGCTGCGGGGGACTGGGGGGGAATCAGGCTGTGGGTGAGCCCCGAGGGCAGAGGGCAGGGTAGGAGGGAAGGTGGAGGAAATGGCTCAGACTATGCTGCAGCGTTCAGGCCTTCCCTCCGGAGCAGCAATGGTCTCTAGTGACATTGTTGTGGGAGCCCCACTGTGCTCAGACAGTGACAGAGCCTCTGGCTCACAGGGGAGCCAGGAGACACATTTTCATGGGCAGAACCACCTGTGGCATCCCAGTTGCTTCTCTTTCTCCTGCCAAGGGCATAGGGCTTGGTAAACATGAGGTACCTAATGGGCCTAGGGATATGTCTTCCATGGCACTTTTCACATGTCCCCAGAAAGCATGTTTCTGCACCCTTCTGAGAAGTTAGGGAGGTCTTTCAAAAACTGTGAACAGGCACCTAGGAAGCCAGCCATGTAGCTGACTGTATGACTGTAGCAAGGCCTGCTTCCCCAGAGCTGGGGACACCCCGGGGTCTCTTCCAGCTGCAGTGATTGCTTCTGCAGCACAGACTTCCCAGACTCAAGTGAGGCCTTTGGCCTTGCCCTTGTTTCTGGCAGACCCCAGCATGGCTTGAGCAGATGATTGCACACACCACGTGGAGAGATCTGTTTTACAAGCTGGCTGAAGCCCATCCTGACTGCTTGATGCTCAACTTCACTGTGAAGGTAGGGCAAGCTCCTAGAGCCCAGAAAAGAGGAGAAAAGAGGGTCCGCTCTGCTCTCTTCTTGGTAGAGCTCTTCTTGGTGGGGTTTTCATCCTTTCCCTTCCATCAGCCTCACACTGAGCAAAAGAAGCAGAGAATTTGTATCTGTGCTTAGGTCGGCATCGACTGTTTCAGGGTTGGACACAGTGGAGTTTAGATTGTGCGTATATGCTGAAGGGCCTCAGGCCGACGTGACCTCTTTACCTCTTGAGACACCAAGGCCCAGAGGAGAGTATAAGTCTGGGTGAGCGAGCGCGCACCTAGATGGTATCACAGCAGGAAGCACAGGAAAAGCTGGGGTTAAAGACCAGTGCTCACTTGGCTCACACAATTGACTGGCTAGCCACTCTGAAAGGTGTGGCCCCCAGATGCTGACCCTTGGCTCTTGGGTTATATGGCAGCTCATTTCTGATGCGGGGTACCAAGGGGAGATCACCAGCGTGTCCACAGCCTGCCAACAGTTGGAGGTGTTCTCCAGAGTGCTTCGGACCTCTTTAGCCACAATCTTGGATGGAGGAGAAGAAAACCTTGAGAAGAATCTTCCTGAGTTTGCAGTAAGCCCCTCTGAATATCTGGCAGAAGGGGGCTACCCGGGGTCAGACTTTGCAAGACCCCCCCTCCATAAAGTATCTCCAGGTCAGAGAGCCCTGCCAGAATCCCTTCGTCTGCATTTCACTGTGACCTGAACTCTGTCTCCCTGCCATCTTCTAGAAGATGGTGTGCCATGGGGAGCACACATACCTGTTCGCACAGGCCATGATGTCCGTGCTGGCCCAGGAGGAGCAGGGTGGCTCTGCAGTACGCAGGGTCGCTCAAGAAGTCCAGCGCTTTGCCCAGGAGAAGTAAGAGATGTTTCTGCTTGCCCTGCTCTCCCTTCTTTTCCTCAGAAAGACGAGCCTTGGTGCACAGCTGAGCCTCCAGCTCCATCAGGTCTGGGCCAGTTCCCTCCATGGGGCTCAAGTTGGTATAGCTTTGGACTCCCCGGCCTGGTGGAGTGCTTGCTGGTGGCTCTTTGCTAAGGACAGGATTGCCCTGGTTGGCTGGTGTGCAATTGTGCTCGGTTGTGCTAGGAGACAGACAGCAGAGTAGCCCCGGCCTGGTCTCCAGTGCCCTGCTTGGTCATGGAGTACAAGGCGCTTCATTTTCTGCTGCCAAAACTTCCCTGAGGAGGTGTGCAGGTTGTGTGACTCCCTCGTGGAGGTTACAGAGTCTCACAGCTCACTGTAGCTGTTGTTCCCAGGGGTCAGTTGGTCAAAAGAGTAAATGGCAGAAATGTGGGAGAGCCCAGGGGTCCTGCCCGCTCAGCATTGCACATTTAAGGTGAAGGAAAGGGAAAAACTGTTAGTGATGGAGCGGCTTTCCAACCAGAGGCCACGATGCCAGTCAGATCACGCTGGCCTTGGGCACAGCTGCCTCCTACCCTCGGGCCTGCCAAGCTCTCGGTGCCATGCTGTCCAGGGGAGCCCTGAATCCTGCGGACATCACGGTCTTGTTCAAGATGTTCACCAGCATGGACCCTCCTCCCGTGGAACTCGTAAGCTACCTATGCTTCAGTGAGGCCAAGTGCCTCACACCAGGTGTCAGGGTGGTTTGGGGAGACCTCCGAGTTCCCTCGTTCTCTTAAGGCCATGCATACGGGTCTCAAACTAGGCCAGCTGTCCTGCCCTCGCTTCCCTGAGTGCTGGAGGTTACAGGCATGGCTACACCTGACATTAAGTTCTCCTCCCAACCTGTCTGGCACTACTGGAATTGAAGCCAGGGCCCATTGCATTCTGAGCAAGCATTTCACCACGGAGGTGCATCTTATGCCCCCTGTCAGCCTTCACCCTGTCAGAGCCCTACAGGTGGGTGATCCAGGGCCTCCCTCCTGCCAGCCCACTCCTGAGTGTGCCTCTTCTTAGATCCGGGTACCTGCCTTTTTGGACCTGTTCATGCAGTCACTATTCAAGCCAGGAGCCAAGATCAATCAGGACCACAAGCACAAGTACATCCACATCCTGGCTTACGCTGCTAGCGTGGTTGAGACCTGGAAGAAGGTACCGTCAGTGCTGAGAACCTGTGGGCTCAGACCAGTGGCCTCCTCGGCTCTGGTACCCTGTGGGGCTTTGGGCTGCAAGAACTCTCCAGCCTGCCCAGCACTGGAAATGTCTTTACCATTGTGCACAAGATACTGAAAGAGCTCAGTGCCCTCAGGAATTTGTGGCGTCTTTTCCACTAGGGCTGGTAGTGGGATGCAACTTCCCTGTGCCACCCATGCAGCCTATGACCTGGTTTCTGTGGGCGATAGGACTGTGTAGTTTGACAGATGAATTGACTTTTGAGTCTGAAGACAGGAGGGGGCCATCCTGGGGTGCCCTCCACAAGAGCCACAGTCCCATGATCACTCAGAGCTTTTATGGTTTCAGAACAAACGGGTGAGCATTGGCAAAGATGAGCTGAAGTCCACATCAAAGGCTGTAGAAACCGTCCACAATCTGTGTTGTAATGAGAACAAGGGGGCCTCGGAGCTGGTAGCCGAGCTGAGCACACTCTATCAGTGCATTAGGTGAGTGTCACACCAGTCCCCCATCTGGCCTCTGGAGTGCCAGGCCTCACATCCCTATGGTTAGAGTATGAACTCTCACGTAGAGCAAGCAAGAGGAGCTTGGGTTGCTCATTCTTTTTTTCCTATTCCTATTCTTTTCCTTTTTTTTTTTTTTTAATGTCTTTGTTTTTTGAGACAAAGGTTCTCTGTGTAACAGCCCTGGCTGTCCTGGAACTAGCTCTTGTAAACCAGGCTTGCCTCAAACTCACAGAGATCTGCCTGCCTCTGCCTTCCGAGTGCTGGGATTAAAGGTGTGTGCCACCACTGCCTGGCAGGGTGGATCCTTAAACACACATGGAGAGCTTAAGCAACTTTGGCGGCTTGTGTGCTTTTCAGGTGCTTTGTGGCCTGAAATGTGTTCAGCAGACCCTCAGTGAGTAGAGAAAGGGCATTCAGAATTAGAAAAACGGATTTAAAGAGTGGGTTCATTTGTAGTAAGACTGTGAAGCCAGCAGGCATTGCCTGGATGGAGTGATTCGTGATTAAGTACACAGTGCATCTTGGGAACTGCATCCTCTCAGGCTCTCGCCTCTTTCCTGTTTCCTGGGGACAAAGAAAGCATCTGAAATAACAGTAGCCGTGAGCAGGTCTGCCGGGCGCCATGCTCTGCTTTGATGATTTTTCCTTTGTGATTTAGCGGAGTGTTTGAAGGAGCCGAGAATCAGATCCCTCCTGAGAGGAGGAGCTGGTCTCATCAAACCACTTCTGCCCTGCAGAAGTGCGAGCCTGCAGGGCAGAGTGAAGGAGTGTCGCTGTGTCCCCAGACTTTGTTCTTGCTTTCCAGCCCTTTATTGTTAGCATGGTTCACCCTCCTTCCCCGCCCTGCTCCCACTCATAGTCAAAGGAAGCCTGTACCTTGTCTGCCTGCAGGTTCCCAGTGGTGGCGATGGGTGTTCTGAAATGGGTAGACTGGACTGTGTCAGAGCCGAGATACTTCCAGCTGCAGACTGATCACACGCCAGTTCACCTGGCCTTGTTGGATGAGGTGAGAGGGCAGAAAGGCCACTTGAGGGGTACACAGTGGTCTGTGTCTTGGACCTTTGTCCTGATGTGAGGGTAGTAGATGCTCTCTTCAGAGCTGGTTTGTGTGTGTGTGTCCCCGTGAGGCCATCTTTAAGGACCTAGTTTCAGACACTATAGATGTGTTTATCGAGTGTTATCAGAAGGGAAGCCTAGAAGCTGACTAGTGCTGTCCCATCAGTGGTAAGCCACCTCAGCTGGCTGTGACAGTCCCGAACATTCCCTGTGTGCTGCCAGTGAGCCCAGAGAGAGGCCAGCGGGTGCCTTGGTGACGCTCCTTTGGCTGTCCACAGATCAGCACCTGCCACCAGCTCCTGCACCCCCAGGTTCTGCAGCTGCTTGTTAAGCTATTTGAGACCGAACACTCCCAGCTAGACGTGATGGAGCAGGTGAGCTGTGTTGCGGGTTGTCGGGGCTGGGAGAGTTCCAGTTCTGACCTGCTCTCCTGGCCCTGCTTTTCCATAGCTCGAGTTAAAAAAGACCCTGCTGGACAGGATGGTGCACCTGCTGAGCCGTGGCTACGTGCTTCCTGTGGTCAGTTACATCCGCAAATGTCTGGAGAAGCTGGACACCGACATCTCACTGATTCGTTACTTCGTCACTGAGGTCAGTAGTACCCTGATTTCATTCTGAGATCCATGGCAGTCATGGTGACACTGATGATTTATTAGGTACGTCCCACCTGTGGGGAGTCTCTGGGGAGGCCCTGTTGGTGGGAGGGCCACCTCACTGCCTGCCGCCGAGTGCTGTGTCCCCACACCAGCCTCTGTGGTGACGCTGAGGTCTCCCCACTAGGTTTTGGATGTCATCGCCCCGCCATATACCTCAGACTTTGTGCAGCTATTCCTCCCCATCTTGGAAAATGACAGCATCGCGGGTACCATCAAAGCCGAGGGCGAGCACGACCCCGTGACCGAGTTCATTGGTAAGGCCCTAAACGTCCCTTTGCTGCACTGGCCCCCTCGCTCCTCACCTGCTCTAACCCAGTGGCCCCGTGTTCCCGCACAGCCCATTGCAAGTCTAACTTCATCGTGGTGAACTGAGAACCTCCAGAACTGAAGCAGAGCCTGCCAGGCCAAGCTCAGGAGGACTGGAGGACTGGATCAGGAAGCTACTTGTGAAGAGGCTCAGCCAGCCTCCTGGAAGGAAGGTCTGCTGGGAGCGAGCAGGCAGCTTTTCTCAAAAAGCCTGTGTTGGCAGTGCCCAGGAGAAGCTGCTGTGCTTGACGGCCCCCTCTGTTGTCAGTGTGGCCCCTGCACCACATGTCACATGCAGGAGTCGGGTGTGTGCACCTCTGGGGAGAAACTCAGTAGGCCTCGGGGTGGTGAGGATCCAGAGCTGGGATGCTTCCATGAGTCACTTTTAGGGCTTATGTAAGCTTTCTACCAATGACCCAGGTGGTTGGTTGTTTTATTGCTTTAATTTGCCAAGAGTAATGATGGGCTGGGTGGCGTGTGTCCTCATGTGCTATTCCCATGTAAATAAAGTGCACAGACCAAGTGCTCGGGTGGGCTAGATGCTTTATTTACCGCTGAGGCAGTCTGGGATTGTCCTCCCCACCCGAGGATTCCAGGGTGACCTCAGAACTGCTCTACACTGTCTTCTCCAGGTAGCTGAGCAGGGCTCTGGTCCTGAGGGCCACGATGAGGTGTGGTTCCTCCTTTACCATCTCTTCTCGGGGTGGCTTCTGCAGCCCACACTCTGCCCCTCATGGCCACAGCAACGTTTCTAGCTGTCCCGTGTCCGGTGTTGATAATCACCCATCCCTGCCATGGTTTCCACCGTTGCCTCCAGAGACGGCTACTTAAACAATGGGGTCCCCGTATGTGCAGGCCTCCTCGATGGCCAGGTTATAGCTGCCACCCGTGCCTCCCTTGTAGGTGCTGGTTACAATCCTCATCCAGCCCCTTTCACCCTGTAAGGAGCAAGAACTGGGCATTAGTGCCTCAGGACATGGTCCCTTGCTCACCATCTGTGCCGCAGAACCCCGGGTCCAGACAAAGCTCTGACTCGGTTCTCTATTACTTCTTAACATAAGGACGCTCCACAGGCAGCTAGACAATCTCAGAGCATGACTGTCTCCCTATTACTACCTGACTTGTGGCCATTCAATAGACGTGGCTGACACTTCGTCACCTCCACGTCTTCCCGTGGCCTCTTCCAGAGTATTCCTGTGTCTGCATTGAGCAACACTCAAAACTGTGTCCCAAAACCACACCCTGCAGGTTTCCTCCCTTGGACTTTTTTGGGTTTTTTTGTTTTGTTTGTTTGTTTGTTTCAAGACAAGGTTTCTCTGTAGCTTTGGAGCCAGTCCTGGAATTAGCTCTTGTAAGCCAGGCTGGCTGCGAATTCAGAGATCTGCCTGCCTCTGCCTCCCAAGTGCTGGAATTAAAGGCGTGCGCCACCATCGCCTGGCTCCCTTGGGCTTTTGACCTAACTCAAACAAGTATTCCTGAAAAAACTTGAAGCATCACTACCATCAAGACCTCTTGGCCCCAGCCCCGGCCATGGAGTAGTTTGGGTTGCTCAGGCTGAGGTTTGGGGAGGAGCCACTGGCTGCTAAGCACTCGGTGATGCACAGGACAGTAGCAGCACTGCACAGCTCAGACCTCAGAAGTCGCTTGTGCCTGGTAAGGCACAAGCCAGCCCTCCACTCTGCTGCCGGGGAGAGGTGCAGACTCTGGTCTGACCTTCAAAAAGGGAACTATCTTACCCAGGGTTCGCCCCATGAATTACGGACAATCCAGTACTCGATCCCATCACTGCTGATGCCCCAGCCAGCTACGGAGATGATGTGGTTGATAAATGTCTGGTCTTGGTGCTCGGCATAGATGCCGCCAGTGTAGTTCACCATCTTCTCCGTCGCCATTATCCCGCAGCTGTGAGAGCCATCAGTTAGCAATGTGAGAAGCAATCGGCGCTTGTGGTGGCCACTGGCTTACAGTACTGAGTCCTGCCTGGTGACCCCGCCAACATCCCCAGTCACCACAGCCAGGGCCTTCTCTACCTAACTACACAGAAGTTTCCTGGGACAGAGCAGCTAATAGCTCATGCTTACTTCTGAGAAAGCCAAAGTCTACTGGCAAAGTGGAGCTCAAGCTGGGGTCAAAGTGGCGGGGAGTGGAGGGGTGAACAAGACACAGCTGCACGTACGTGCACAGACCCAGACTTTTCCTTACCTGATGGGACCGTTGGTGTAGATCTCTGCCATCATCTTCTCCCTACCCGACAGGGAGCCATAGTCACCCACTCTCCAGAGGGTGTAATTCTGGATGGGTTGGCACACTTTGAATTCGGAGCAGGTCCCACACTGGTTAAACTTGTCACACTCTAGAACACAAGAAGTCAGCATGACACTCTCCTCATTAACCCACTAATGAAGCCCGCCCCATCCTCTCCACTTTTCTAATTTAGCCCGCCATTCATTAGCTGATAGCGGAAGCCCTCCAGGTGCCGCTTAATTATGCCTGTCTCTCAGCTGCAGGCATGGGAAAGCCTCCTCCAGGCCGTGGCAGAACAGAAAGAACAGACTTTGATTAGTGCATGGTAGGCACTCTGACGTTGCCCTTCTCCTTTAAAGGCTGGGAGAGGACCTCACAGCATGCTGTAATTGAAAACCGAGTGCAATCACTATTAAAATGTAACCAGATGATTGCACTGCTGGCTAGTGACTAAGTAGGCCAAAATACTTGATTTAAAGAAATGTGTCCTCTTTTTACTTGGCTTGAGAAATATCAGAATCTGGTTTAAGGAATAGCCAAAGCCATCCCAAGGAGTAGGAACATTCATGGAGGTGTCTCGATACCTCAAATTACACTACAGAGCTATAGTGACAAAGACCGGTGCTGGTGTAGAAACAAAAACAGACAAAACAGAGAACTTGGAAATAACTGACAAAGCTATGCCCCTTAACTCAAGACAAAGGAGCAAAAACATTCACTGGGAAAAAAAAAAGCCTATTCAACAAAGGATGCTGGGAAAACTAGAGATCCACCTAAGAAAAAGTCAGGTTCATACTTTTCATCCTGTACAAAAATCAGTTCACATCAGATCGAAGACCTTAACTTAAAACCTGAAACACAAAGCTCTAGACAAAAATACAGGGAATAAGTGCCCCTCAAGATACTAGGGTAGCTAGAACTTTCTGAACAGAACACCGAAAGCACAGGAGTCAGCCCCAAATAACAGACGAGACCACTGGAAAGAAAATGTACAGCAGAGGAAACATTCAGCAGAGCACCGGCCACGGGGGGTGGGGGGGATCTTTGCCAGCCCCATTAGACATGGCGGCAATCTAGAACTTAGAACCGCAGACATCAAATATCAAGGAAGTAAAACTCAACCAGCGAATGGCTACAGGAAACATAAATCGTCAAAATTGAATTTAAAAGGCAGCCTGGACATGGTGGCACACACCGTTTGTTTGTTTGGTTTTTATTGTTGTTTGTTTTTGAGCCGGTTTCTCTGTGCATCGCTGGCTCTCCTGGAACTCACTCTGTAGACCAGGCTGGTCTTGAACTCACAGAGATTCGCCTCCCTCTGCCTCCAGGGTGTTGGGATTAGAGGTGGCATACATTAATTCCGTCACTCGGGAGACAGGAAGGTGGATCTCTGAGTTTGAGGCCTGGTCTACACAGCAAGTTCCAGAACAGCCAAGGTGAGCACTGTCTCAAAGAGGGAAAACGAAAAAAAATTCAACATCCCTAGTCATCAAGCCGTCAGAGAAATGCAGATTAAAACTACTTTGTGAAACTACCTCATCCTGGTCAGAATGACTATCATCAAGAAATCTGACCACAAATGTTGGAGAGGAATTTTTGGAAAAAAAGGAACCCTTATTCACGGCTGATGGGGGTACAAATTAATACAGCCATTATGGAAATCAGCTTGGAAACTGCTCAAAAATTAAAAATAGAGCTACCATATGGTCCGGCTGTTACACCCCTGCGCACATACCCTGAGCACTGCACGCCCTACCATAGAGACGCTTGTGTGTCCACACTTATTGCGTGTCCACACTTACTGCTGCTTTATTCACCACAGCAGGGAAGAGCTGGAGTCAAACCCCTTGTCCATCAGCAGATGAACGGATAACGAAAACCTGGCACATGTAAAACGTTCTTCCAAAGAAAAATGAAATCACAATATCTGCAATGAACGGGCTTAGCATTTACAAAGCAAAGTGGCCCAAACTCAGAAAGAAGAAACCGTGTCCACCTTTGTATGCAGATCCTAGCCCATATATACACATGTGTGCAGGTACACAAGTGCACATGTGTGTAACGTAGGGAGGACGAGTAAAGATAAAAAGGGCAAAATGCTAATGACATCACATCTATAAGATGTTTTGTGAAAGTCCTTTGAATATCCTTTCAAAGAATCACACGTTGGTTTTTCTTTTTGAGTTTTCCAGACAGGGTTTCTCTGAAGCCCTAGCTGTCCTGGAACTTGACCTGTAGATAAGGCTGGCCTTGAACTCACAGAGGTCCACCCGCCTCTGCTTCCCCAAGTGCAAGGATTAAAGGCGTGCCCCACAATCAGCTGGTGGAATCAACATTTTTTGAATACAAAAATGTGCCCTTGCTGGGCAGTGTCCCCACGTGATTTCACAAGGGCCCCTTGCCTCACTGGGGGATCTGAATTGTAAGCTATGTTTTGTACTGAACACTCCTGCAGGGAATTGCACTTTTGTTTAATGAATGCCAAACTTGTATTCATTAAGCAAGAATTGTAGTTGTCCAAATAACAGAATGTGAAGGTTGCTAAAAGTATGTTGATAATAATCGTAGTTTTGGAGTTTCTGAGATGCCTGAGAATAGTGCATTTATCGCACTGAAAATCAGAGTCACATACTGAGAATCTGAAAATCCTCAGAAACCTGCGCGTTTCCGCTGTATGTTATAAATTCAAAAACATATCACTGTTGCTGAATAAATATACTTTGTTTTAAAAAAATGAAGGGAAAAAAAGAATTAGTTTTGAGGGCTGGAGAAATCGGCCAGTCGAGTGCCTGCCATTGCAAGCCTAAGGACCTGAGCCCGAAGGCTCAGCACCCGCACCAAGTCAGCCTGATGGTGCTGGTCTGTAATCCAAGCCCTGGGCGGTGAACCCGCGAGACTGACCTCTGTTCAGACCCTTCCCCAGGGCAGTAAACTCCTCAAGGATTACATCACCAGTTTATTTTGTCCCTCAGGCACCATTGCTCAGTGTAAGGTGGCCAGCAACATGGTGGCCTCCATTTGTTCCTACAAGAGGGGATTGTTGAGTGGTTCTGATGAGCCCAACCACCTATGAGTCTGGAGGGGACCAGGGGGACCTAGCCTCAGCTGGACGACAATAGTTTGGGGGTGGAGGAGGGATAGGACCCCCAAGGACATTCCACAAAGCAGTCCACGGCCTTGCCTTCCCTCTACCCTGAATCTGTTCCCAGGTGGGGTCTCTGTCCTTGCTGGGTTTACCCATCCAGGACAATGGACTCAGCCAATTAGGCCAGAGAATTCTTTTGATTCTTGTGGGAGTGAGGCATTAAGGTCCATGAGGTAGCTAGACAAGGGGACACCATCCACAGGGGTGTTGTTGAGTGACCAACTACCCTCCAGGCACCTGAATCCCCAGAACAGCCTGCCGCAGCCATGAGGGAGGTCTACAGATCTAAGTCCCCCAGAGCATCTTGCTCCAGCCATGAGGGACCAACTGCCCTCCAAGCACCTTCTGAGTCGTCACCCCCGCCCCCAGCATCTTGCTGTAGCCACGAGAGAGTTCTAAGAATCAAAGTTTACAGCCATGAAGGATGGATTTGAGTTTCCTTTTCTTTGGTTTCCAAGGAAAGCAGCCTAAAAGGGACGTGCAAACCATGGATTTCCGAGCCAGGCAGCTCTACCCATTCATGATCTGTCTAGGACTGCTGGGCCAGGAACCAGCTGGTGCTCCATTTCAGCTGGGCAGGTTAACTTGCAGCTCAGAAAGCAGCCCCACCACCTGCTCTCTGCTCCAGACCATGGGAAAGAGACGCTTCCTTCCATCGGCTGCCTGCTTGTGCCCCTTATAAAAGGCCCATAAAATCATCCAAATGCCAGGTATGAGAACTCACACGCGCACACATCCAGTCCTGGCTACAGGGGTGTGGCTCTGCTTATTTATTTACTTCCAATACTGGAGACTGAGCCTCCTCATGTACGGCAGGCAAGCGCCATCATTGAGCTATATCTCCAGTCTGGAGTTCTCTTCTGGTATCTCTCCATGCAGACTCAACAAAGACCATGTGTTCCAGCTTCCTATCACCCTAACCCCAACCCACAAGGTTCGAGTGACATCAGACCATCCAGCTCTTCCTGGGGGCTGCAGTCTCCACCTCCACCCTCTTCAGCATCCCAGCCACAGTATGACAGATGTGGGCTCCTCAACTCTCGGCCACTCTCCCTTGAAAGAGGAAAAAGACCATGTAACAGCAATGTGGGGACACAGGCAGGGCCTACCTTGGTCTTTGGCCTGGTAGTTGTTGCAGGTCTCATCGGGGATGCCATGCTTATGGGCATAGGCCCACACTGGAAGGTCATTGCCGCCTTCACAGGAGCCAGCGTTGCCACAGTCGATGACGTTCTGCACCGAAAGCAGGGTGGAGGGCCACGCGCCTTTCCTCTTGATGTTGATGCGGTCTGCAACAGTCAGCACGCTGGTCAGCACCACCCAGTCGTGCCCCCCCCCCCCACGCCCATGCCACAGGGCTCTGCCCGCTGCTCCCTCTCTTGTGCAGGCCTCAGCTCAACTGTGGCTTCAGGGACATGCTCTGGTCTTCCTCGAGCACCGTGACACCTGTGTGTGTCAAGTGTCAGGAGGCAGGGCCAGATCCCAAGGAGCTACAGGATGGCAGCAAAACCACCAGTGTAAGGAGGCTAGTGAGCAGTTACAGACCACACGGAGAAAGCTGGCATGGGCATCTCCAGGGAAAATGGCAGCCTAGGGAGCCAAACACCAACACGTGGCGCTCATGTGTTGGTCCCACACACTGAGGGGCAGCTAGGGTCATCACAACATCCACTAGGGCATGGCTGACCTACATCCTGAAAGGCCACCTTGCTCTTCACCCTCAAGCTACACACACACACAGTTCACACCAGCCATGCCACTCCCTTGCCCAGGCCTGGTCTCCTCCAGCCTCACCTGCTCTTCCCCCAACCAAAGCTATCCTTGTTTTTCCAGACTTCAGACCTGGGTCACCTCCCATACTCCCCCACTCTGGTCCTGCTCCACAAGGTTGGAGCAGCACAGAACCTTCTAGAACCACCCCTCACATACCCTTGATGACCTCAGAGGGCACATCACTGAAATACTCAAAAGCAGACCTTGTGTTATCACCATTTAGACCCATTCCTGTGCCAACGACAAGAGCTGCCCGAGGCCATGGGCCCACCCCTCCTGTCTTGTTCCCCCATTAGGCTCCCTGTAGCCTTCCTCCCTCTACATGCCCATTAGGAGCACACCTCTCAGTGAGGGGCACCCCCAAGCCCACAGACCCACTTTTCCCGGAGTCCAACCAGGGTCCCAGGACTCTACGCCTTGTCTCAGCAGTGCGAGGTGAGGTTCACCACTGCCTATGTCTCTTTGGCCTCCTAAGTTGCTCTTGCCAAAGTCCCTAGCTCGATATCACCCATCCATCCTAACCCCTCTTCACCCTCATGAGACTGTCTCTTCCAGAGGGGCAGCAGAGGGGCCACTCCGCCCTTCCAGAAGTGCCTGGGCTGTCTTCCACATTCAACCTTAGCAGTGTTTCTTGAGGCTTGCTGAGAGCCCTTTCCTCCCCTTCTCTGGTCTCTCCCTTCTGGTGACCTCAGCTAAGGCCCAACGTCAGTGGCCGGCTGAATAGCCTCAGGCCTGGCATCCCCTACCTCTGACACAACATCTGGCTTCAACCTAACCAACGATGTGGCTCCAGAATTTGCAGGCTCCTTGGGATGACCCCTCTACACTATCTACTCTGCTTTTTCTGACTCGGCACCCTTTCCATTCTGAGAGTTCCAGTCCCACCTTTTGTGCTGTGCAAACTGTAGACACAAGCCAGCTCTATTCTGTGAACTTGAACCAGGGCACAGGGGGCAAGACGATGGGCAAGCAGAACAGCACTGCCAGGAGATGTTCTGGGGAGCACCCAGGGGCTAAGGTATCAGGTACACAGACCAGCCAGGCAAATGTCCATCTGCGGTGGTCTGAATGAGAATGGGCCCCATAGCCTCACAGGTATGAATGCTTGGTCTCTAGTAGGTGAACTATTCGGGGGAAGGATTAGGAGAGGTGACCTCGATGGAGGAGGTGTATCACTGGGGCTGTGCTTTGAGATTTAAAAAGTCCACACCAAGTCCAGAGTTCTCTGCCTGATGCTTGTGGACCAGAGGACTCAGCGCCATGCCTGCTGTGATGCTCTCCACCATGATGGTCGTTGACTTCCTCTATGAAACGCTAAGCAAGTCCCCAGTAAATGTTTTCCGAGTTGCCTTAGTCATGGTGTCTCTTCACAGCAACAGAACAGCGACTAAGACGCCATCCAAGGAGAGAAGTGTGAGAACCTGAGGAGAGTCTTGCATATGAAGGTAGCTAGGCCTCAGCTGCCTGTGTGGACACAAGGGAGGAGGGAGCCAGACTTCCGCTCCGGAGGTCAGAGAAGGCCCTTGTCATCGATGGTCTCAAATATGGAAATACAATGGGACTCAGGTTTAACAGGCTTATTCTGGAAATCTCTTGTCTGAGACCAGCCAGGAGTCAGGGTGCTGGGAAAGACACCACCTAATTCCTCCTTAGGACTGATGGAAGAACAAAGAGCCTGTGAACTAAAGAACAGTTCGTAGGAGCAACAGAAAATGAGTCAGATAACCCCTAAGCTTTTTCCGGAATATCCTCAGGGGAAGGCGGCCTTGTTGGTGGCTGAGATGGAGAGGATGGCCTGCGCGTCTGGGCCTAGAGGCAGCAGGGATGCAGGCCAGAGGGTAGCAGCAGACGGATACAAAAGTGAGTCTAGGCAAAGACTGGGAACACAAGCCAGGCGGCGGTGGCACACTCCTTTAATCCCAGCACTCGGGAGGCAGAGGCAGGCGGATCTCTGTGAGTTCGAGGTCAGCCTGGTCTACAGAGTGAGTTCCAGAACAGCTAAGACTGTTAGAGAAACCCTGTCTTGAAAAACCAAACCAAACAAACAACTGGGAACACAGACTTCAGAAGTGTGGGAAGCAATGAAGTCAAGGAGTAGGAAAGGTTGGTAGCACAGAGGCTGGTAGGGAGGGAGCTGGTAGGGAGGGGGCTGGTAGGAGGGGCTGATAGGGAAGGGGACTGTAGGGAGGAAGACTGGTAGGGAGGGGGATGGTAGGGAGGGGAAGTAGGGAGGGGGCTGGTAGGGAAGGGGGCTGGTAGGGAGGGGCTGGTAGGAGGGGAGATAGGGAGGGGCTGTAGGGAGGAGGACTGGTAGGGAAAGGCTGGTAGGGAGGGGGATGGTAGGGAGGGGAAGTAGGGAGGGGCTGGTAGGGAGGCAGAGACATGGGGGGTGTGGCTCAGTGAGGGCCTTACTTCACCCCAATGGGAGGAGGCCTAGGTACAGACTCCTGAGTCTCAAAAGTGACAAGAAATAGAGTGAAGTGGGAAGCTCGGAGAACCCAACGGGAGCAAGCGGTTGGGACAGTGAGAGGTGGGTGGGACCAAGGGGCTTTTGGTCACGTGTTGGAAGTGACTGATGAATGGAAGAAGATGGCCTCCTGTGATGAGGACAGGTGGCCTCATAGGGAGAAGCTTGGATGCTTAACCGCCCAGAGATGGGAAAGACAGACTGGTTCCATGGCTGCCCTGCCGGCACACAGCCAGGGACCTGTGGACGTCCCCTTCGGTGTCGGCACAGAGAAAGAGGAAGCAAGGCCTTGACTACTGATGAAGATGGAAGAGATCAGGAAGGATGAAGCAGCCATGTTCCCAGAGCCGTTCCGCTCTAGTGATGGGAAAGACGCAGCCTCAGGCAGGCCCTGTCCCATCTAAGAGCCCTGCGCCCCAGCAACGTCCTGCACCCCCATGTACCTCACTCCACTGACCTTTTCTGCTCCCCATCACCCTCACCCCACCCTGTGCTCTGCTGAGGTCTTTTCACTTCCCCAACACCAGCCCTGCGACCTCATTCCTAAACGCTCTCGACTTCGTTCGGCTCCACACCGCTGCAGGCCTTCCTTCCCCGCACACCCTGCCTCCTTGACAAACAAGCAAGCACCTCTCGACCTTCCCATGCTGAACCCTCTCAGGCCACCTTCCTTCTACCTCCTTCTCAAGGGTCAGCAGCACATTCCTGACCTCAGAGGTGACTCTACAAAGAGCCACAGCTACACCTGGCTGGCTCTGTCAAGAACCCCTCACCCTAAGGAAAGAGTCCAAGCTGAAGGGCTGAACCCCATCTGTCACTCTTCTTACAGTGGAGTCTTGTGGGTGGGCGGCAAGAGGCCGACACGAATAAGCCCCACAGGTACAGGAGCAGCCATTTCACCGTTACTAATCCTCGACCAGGGCTCTGCCTACAGCAGGCCAGACCAGAAAGACACAAATCACAGAGAGGTCACTGCCTGAGTCACACTCCCAGACAGGAGAGTTGCTTCCCCATTGGCTTCCAGGGGTCACCTCTGCATGTGGCAAAACTGTGTCTCTACACTCCAGACAAAATGACACTTCCGGCCCCTGCCTGCTTCCTCTTCCAAGGAAGGACACAGCAGCCCTCTGAATGTGCGGGACTTCAGTTGGGCTGTCTCTTCCTCCTGCACCTTCTTCTTGCCTCTATGGTGGCCAGGCTAAGATTTAAGTTGTTCATCTCAAACACTGACCGCAGTTTCACTTCCCTGACCTAGTAGGGCCTCAGCTCAGTGACTTCGAAAGGCTGCTTCCATCTCAGTGGCTGAAGTCACAAGGCCTGGGGAAGGGAGGGTACCCAGGGCTCATATGTCATGGGTTCTAGTTCCTCTAGTGGAGCCTCTGCCGTTCACAGAGGCCCTAAGAGGAGAGAACGGCAGAAAGATAGTCACATCACTCTGTGAGCTGTGGCCATCATGGCTTACCTACAGGCAACCGGGTGGTGAAGAGCAGCCACCCACCTGGCCCTGCCCTGGGCTTATCATGGAGCCCCGGGCTACCCACCTGCCATGGCGCTGGTGCTCCCGTGGGCCCAGCAGGAGCCACAGTACTGTGGGATGTGCTGGTTCCTGGTGACGCTGACGTAGTTGACACCGTCCACATTTCTCCAGTCCCAGCTCTTGGGGATGTCCGATGGGGACAGGTACTCGTGCGGCCGAGGATAAGTCCTGGGAAGAGGTAACCAGCATGGAAATCAACCCTGGAACACCTAGGGCCTTCCCTCCCCCACCAGGGCCACAGACCCACAGGCAGTGCCCTAGGGACCGTCTTCCCTTTTCCAAAATGTAAGCGTTTCGGGGCTCGATCCTTCACCACCAGAAAAGCCACCAGCAGAACCCAGCACTACTGGAAGCTGCCGGTGACTGAGCATGACTTCAACATCCTAATGCTCACCAACTATGGACAGAGAGGTGAGGCCTGCCCAACCTAGCAAACACCAAAACTCCCCGGATATGAAAGTCATCCCAAAAGGAAGGGATGAGATTTCCCAGGCCTAAGGAGGCAGGGTGGACCAGAGAGAAGCAAGGTCCCAAGTGGCAGGGGGTGCGTGCCTGGCCCAGAAGTGTACCCTCTTCCTCCCCAGGCACAGCCCCGCGCCCACCTGCGCCCCAGCTGGGCCAGCTGATCCCCGCGAAGGGGCCGGTAGCAGGTCTGGCCCGGGCGGAAGTACAGGCTGGCCCGCGCCGCGCCCGCCAGCAACAGCATCAGCAGTACCAGCCGCAGCTGCAGCACCGACCCCGACGACGCCATGCTTCTGCTCCTCGGCCTGCTTGGATCCTGGATCACGAGCCGGACTTTCGACCCCTTGACCTGACCCGCGACCCACGCGCTCAGGCCACCCCGCCCGGTCCTTTAGGAGGCGCCCAAGTTAGACACACCCCAGAGGCGGGGCCTTCCCGTTGCTCCTGCCCCGGCCCCGCCCGGCAGCCCCCAGGGCAGAATCTGCTCCCCACGGATCAGCACAACTTGGGGTCACACAACCAGACCCGGACCTGACAGTGTCACCATTCACTGTGTTCGTGTGGAGACTCACTGAGCACAGTTGTCAAACTTACTCTCCAGAGACCTAGGCATCGTGTGGGGCAGGCTGTGGCTCTGCAGGCTTCCAGGCAGATTCTTCTGCCTCCCAGTTCTGAAGTGATGATGCAGTCGTAGGCTAGGCCTCCCCTAGGAGCACACAGAGATCTCCCGAGTCTGAAAGAACGAGGTATGGGTCATCCTCAACGTTAGACCCTAGCCTGGTTTTATGAACCCCACTCCCCAAAAGGTCCAGGCTCTCCTTCAGAGAGAGGGGAAGGCATGATCCTTATAGACTTAGTCGTAAAGGAAATTTTCACTTGGCATATATATCATTGTTCTGGGAAAGGGTCCCAGTAACCAGGATCTTCCAAGATGAGGAACCGAGAGAGAAGTGGGACCCGGATCTAGGTTTTGTAATCGCAGAATTTCCCATTCCTCCTATGCCCCATATATAGTCAGGAGCACCAGGCCACAATGCCATCTCCTTTTTCTGTAAGAAAAATCCCCTAGTATTTTATCTCAGGGTCCCAGTGACTAGCCAGGATACTCCCTGCCTGCGCTTGATGGCGGTCAGAAATCAACATGGCTGCTTTGCTGCCTGCCTTTCCAGATCGCCCAGAATTTCAGCAGGACTCAAGCTGCTGGATACCTCCTGCCAGAGCAGAACAAGGTCTCACAGGCAGATTTGCGTCTCCCCAACAGCACAGTAGCTTGGGTCCCTGTCCCTATAAAGTGGTCGCTGAGGCATACACAGCCTGAATACTGGGATCTGTCTGTTGCTATCCTTCATCTTGGGAACTCATGTTGACCTTCCTCCTCCTCGAGGTGGTGGACAGGATGTTACGAATGAGGCCCCCCAAAACCCAGCGAGAAGTGTTCCAGTCTGAACCCCCTAAGGCAATTCTCCCCAGTGGTGACCCTGTATAGACCTTAGAGTCCCATAATTCTCTCTGGAGGAGGGAGAAGGAAATGCCATCTCCTTGCCTCCACGACAGGAGGGGACCCTAGATTTACAGGAGTCTTTGTGATTCTATGATGTCATCTGGGTAAGGTCTACTGAAGTGGGGAGGGATTGTTGCCTTGGGAGAAGACGACGGAGGCCAGCGATCCAGTTCAGTGTGAGAGGATGTACTTAGCATGTCCAAAGCCCAGATCATCCCTGGCACAAATAATGAGTAAATGAATGAACAGATTTAAAAAAAAATAAGTCTTATTTTTAATAACGTGTGTGTCTGTGTGTTACTTGTACATGTGAGTGCAGGTGCCCTTGGAGGCCAGAAAAGCACGCCCAACACCATGGAGCTGCAGTTACAGGCAGTTGTGAGCCGAGAGATGTGGGTACTGAGAACCCAATGCTGGTCCTCTGAAAGGGAAGCCTCTGAACTAATTAATTAATTAAAATGAAAGAAGAAAGGGATGGGAGAGAGGAGAGAGAGAGAGAGAGAGAGAGAGAGAGAGAACTGAAAACACTTGGTGATAGCAGTGTGTCACCCCCCCCCCAGAAGCTAGCCAGGTCTTAGTGGTACAAAGTCCATGCACACATTCCAAGGCATTGCTAGCAGCTTGGAGTTAGCAGGCAGGCAGGCAGGTCCAGGACTGAACTCCTCTGTCTCCTGCAGGTTTACAGGCATCATGGTGTTGTACACATACACCCTCAGCTTACCAGCCCTTCCGGCCACGTAATGTCAGCAGCCTGGGGTGCTGTGAGCATGCTCTGGCATTATCCCAGCAAACCATGCACTTAGAAGCTATTTAGTTAACTCCGAAAGACCTGCCGTGAGGCTATGTGACCCTGTAGTCATGTAGTGCCCCAAACTTGGGAGGGTTCACTTTACCTTGGCCCCAGAAAATTGCATAGCAGGTATAATGATCTTAGTGTCACCTGCCTGGCAGGAGGTCACAGAGGCTAATAGGCACCCAGTCTTGCTCTCTAAGTCCTTGTCACAAGGTAGCATTTTCTCACTAAATGCTGCTTAAAGGGGTGGGTGATGTGAGATTCCCCTCTGTATACTGTATCATTGGTTAATAAAGGAACAGCTTTGGGCCTATAGCAGAGCTATAGGAGGACAGAGTTAGGCAGGGAAAACTAAACTGAATGCTGGGAGAAAGGAGGATTTAGGGAGACGCCATGGAGCTGCCGCTGGAGACAGACATGCTGAAACTTTGCTGGTAGGCCACGACCTCGTGGTGACGCACAGATTAATGGAGATGGGTTAAATTTAGATGTAAGAGTTAGCCAGTAAGAAGCTAGAGCTAATGGGCCAAGCAGTGACTTAATTAATATGGTTCCTGTGTGATTATTTCTGGGCTGAGAGGCCAGGAACCAACAAGCGGCCTCCTCCAACAAGTGGGGTAGGTGCTGCAATATTACAGGCTAGTGAGGTGTGACATCCTAGATGGGTTATTGAAGTTCGTTGGAGCCTCCCTAACCCAGAACTGGTGAGGTGAAGAGAAGAGAGGTAAGTGGGAAAGGAGGGGGTGGAGAGTCCTAGGGTTCAAGCCAAGAAGAAAATGCAGCCTCGACTCATTCTCCGTATGTTAGTTCAGCTCCTTGGGTCTGACTCAGGACGGCCAAGCTTGAATCTTAGTGCCACTTGGGTGGTACCAATTGCCCTGCACCTACAGTCAGACCCCACTGGCTGCCCCATTTTATCATTTTCTAAGTCCACGCTAGGGCAACCTTTCTTACGATTTTGTTGGTTTTGGTGTGTATGTCTGTGTTCTGTGGTAGGGACATTCACCAATCAAACTCCAATTTTACTGGGGCTGGCCCTTGAAGACCTTGGTCCTAAGGGGTCCTCTGAAGGGCACATGGATAAAGGGACATGATTGCTAGGACCTGGGAAGTGCTGGGCACGTGGTCTGCCTCTGCCCTGGTCCCGTGCACGCTGGAGGCTGAGTTCATTCTTCTCTCCCTCTCTCTCTCTCTCTCTCTCTCTCTCTCTCTCTCTCTCTCTTTCTCTCTCCAGACTCACTGGCCTGGCAGCGTGGAGCCACACAGCCTGAAAGGTGTGTTCCCTTTTGACAGCACTTCACGTGTCAGGGAGATCATTTTGGAGATTGTGATTCATCTTCTAATCTGGGCCTGAAAGGAAGGAGGCTCAGGGCAGGGCCTGCACCTTCCTGCCTTGGAGGCCCTACTTACCCACGTGTTGCTTCTAGCAGCTGTTTTATGAGCAGTCGTGTGTCTCTGCCACCCAGGCTTGGGGCACAGTTGAGCAGGTGTTCATGAACTGGGCATGTCTCCGGAAACTACCATACAGTTCTTTGCCTGAGTAGCTGGCTGCGTGCCCTGGGCTGTTCTCAGGTAACTGAATCATGCCAGTATCAGGTGTTCCCTGGGCAGGTAACTCCGTCCTTCTTCGAGTCTTCCTCCTGTTCTGAGTGGGAAGGGGTCGACAGATACATGAGAAGATGGTACTGCCAGTGAGGTCAGCGCTTAGCATGAGTCTCGGGGGTGCAGATATGAATCTGGGGGCGGGGGTTGTTGTTGTTTTTTTTTTTAATATTCCATAAAGTCTCCTGGCAAACACATGATCCAAGGCCACAGACACAAAAGACTATTCATTTCTAAAAATAAGGTTGATTTTTCCCCCCTCGTCCTAATAAAGAACAACATGTGTATTTTTGAGTTAGGCCAGGGTCAGCCCACCTTCCTAAGCCTATGGGAGGGTGGACTAGGGTTCGTGCATAGCGGAGTGGCCTCAAGATCTTTTCTCTCCTTCTTCCTTTGTGTGGTAGTGTCTGGCTCCCACCCTGGCGGGCTGCACACACTTCCTATTATTGCGCATTCCTGAGTGGGGCCACATCCTGGAGACGGCGTTTGTTTTGATGGCTGCTGACAGTGTTCCAGGAGCAGACTGGTTCTGCAGGGCACCATGGCCTCCTCACCAGCCACAGGCCTCCTCTTTATCCCCTCGGTCAATGGCCAGAAGCCTCGTGCTAACTCACAGACATCCAGGCGGAGACGGCCTTCTGATCCGGTGGCTCAGCTTTGTCATGGACCCTATCACTGTCCCCAAGACTGTCTTGCTTCACATCCTGACCTGCTGTCGGTCGGCACACGCTTGCCGTGAAAGTAGCTTCCTGGAGTCACGTTCCTGGGGTTGGTTTCAAGGCCATTATTTCCGGAACACGCAGCCAGCAGCCGGGCACCTAATATATGTGTAGCTAACACGTGAATCCACCCTTGAGGTCTTTCAAAGCGGCACTTCATCTTTCGTGGGACACCAGCACCCATGGGGTGACACGGAGTCTGTGCCAGGCAGGCTTCTGCTTTCAGCCTGGGGTGGGGGATGGGGTCACAGAGAGGGACACTTGCATTCTGCCAAAGGAAGACTGAGAAAGTAGAATGTGCTCAGAGATGGTAACAGATCAGTGAGTAAGGACTTGAGTTCCAGCTCAGAATCCCCTCCTTAAACTCTGGCAATGCCGCCATACTTGCAATCCCAGTGCTGGGAAGACGGAGAGTGTCAGATCCCTAGGACTTGTTGATCAGTCAGCCTAGACTAATTGGCCAGTTCAAGGCCAACGAGAAACCTTGTTTCAGAAAACAAGGTAGATGGCACCTGACCTCCAAACACAGCTACACATGCACGCACACACACACACACACACACACACACACACACACACACACACCACACATAAGGCAGGGGGAGACTGAGAGACTGGGGTCGTTTGCAATTATTTTCTTATCCTATTATCTGGGACTGAATGATGAGGCCGCAGCCGTCATTTGTTCTGGAGGGAACCATGTGTATGCCCAGTTCAGCCTTGGTACATGGGAACAGTAGGATAAAGCCAAGAATGCCTGTTGGTGAGATCTCAGACGAGACATCAGACCACCAGGCCACAGGGAAAGTCCCTGCCACCTCCTAAGGCCACATGAGTACCTAAAGCCACTTGCACCTGGCCTGTCCATCACTCTTCACCCGGCTTCTCCATGCCTCTCCACGTTTCCCCACTTGGAGGATGTCTGGTGCCTGTCTCATGACAGCAATGCAAAGGTCAGCTTACTTCGTACAATGGCTAATCTTGGTTGTCTATTTGACAGACCTGGGCAGAGTAAACCTCAATGGAGGAGTTGCCACCCTCAGATTGGTCTGTGGGCATATCTATGACCCTTTTCTTGACTATTAATTAGTATAGAAAGGTCCAGCCCACCATGGGTGTCACAATCCAGGGAAAGGTGAGCTTGGACTCCAGGAAAAAAAAGAGCTGAACATGAGCCTGGAAGCAAGTCAGGAAAAGGTTCCTTCATGGTTTCAGCCTCAAGCTTCAGCCTTGAGCCCCTGCCTTAGGTTCTTTCGGCGATGGAGTATAATCTATAAAATGAAGTAGACTCCTTCTGCCCAAATTTTCTTTGGTCATGGTGTTTATCACAGCAAGAGAAACCAAACTAAGAGATCACAGTCGTCACTAGTTCAGGAGAATGGTTGAGGGGACCTGGAAGGGCGCAGTCTCCGGGGGAGGGGGGGCGCTGATTCGAATGCCATGTACAGAGGGCTGTTGGCAGTGGATGAAGGCTTTACTTGGAGAGGTTTGAAGAAAGGGCAGGATGCAGCTGTTCATCAAGGGACAGAGAAGCGTGCTGAGAGGACACAAGGCCCCCAGGATGTATGACTGCAAGTCCTATCACTTGCCTGTCTTCCGACACCATGGACTGAACCCTTGGCTGGAGTCTGAAGATCCACCAAGCTATGCTGAAGTTGGGGTGAGTCAGTTTCTTCCCCAACCCCCCACTTCTGGGCTGCACCTGAGAGAGAAAGCCCAGGCTCCTGTCAGCCTCCGAGTCCTTGGAGGGCAGGACCTTTTCTAAGGTCCCTCTGATGGTATCTGCTGAGTAAATAGATCTTTTCTGAAACGCACATGCCAGCTCAGCTCGCCCAGACAAACACCAGGCTTGAAGAACTCTATATTTTTGTTTGATTTTGGCTCCAGATGCTAATGGCTACAAGCTTATCTCTGTTCCCACCACAGATCATTGCTTATCAGCGACTGCACACCTCGGGAGACAGAAAGTGCAATTGAGAAGGCTCAAGATCCATTGCCTTCAGAATCACAGCAGGTCAGGGGAAGTGGGGTGTGTGTGTGTGTGTGTGTGTGTGTGTGTGTGTGTGTGTGT